TTCTTGGTCTACCACCTGCTTGAAAATGCTGTGAGACAGCTCCCCAGCCCCTGGCTGGTGGGTGCTTGGGTTGGCTAGATGAGAGGAGCCCTGGGGAACTGGTCTGTTCGGGGAGAAACATCAGCTTCGACGTTATCGAGATAGTGATTTGTGGTGTTCTGGTATGAAAAGGCCTCATGCTTGACAGGGGTAGCGCTCTAGGAAAAAAATATTAACAAAAACAACGTCCCTGGGAAGGGGAGAACCAGAAATAGTGGATTTCCAAGTGTCTCTGTCTTTCAGCCTGCTCTTTGTGCCATAACATGTATGTTTTAACCAAGGGCGAGGGTCTCAAAAGGCTTTGAGAGCACAGCTACTTCTCATTTACAAATGACAAGCTGCCTGTTGTTTTCTGGTGGGCTTGGTAGGGGCTAAGGTATAGCAGAATATCTGAGGTCCATCTTTGCTTTAAACAAATGCATTTCTACCTGCAGAGTAAGAATTATTTCACTTATCAGCATAGCTGGACAATTATCTATTTCTTTCTGTTACCAAGGTACTTGTAACTCTCTTGCACTGTTTATCTAAAGTTGAAATATGTTCTTTGAATCCTTGTATAAATAAAAAGGCTGGAGACAAACCTAGGTAACAGGGCAGTTATTTCTTCTCCATTTAATCTGAGTTTGGCATTTTCTTTCTTGTTTTCCTTGTTAAGGCACAGACAAAGGGCAGGTCAGGAGTCCCAAGGAATGAAATGGTGTTTCAGCCACAAGTTTCTAATGGGCTGATGCCAGTGTTGGCAGTAGGGGTTTGCCTGGATCCAACTCTGTATCTTCCAAGGAGCAGCTGCTGGGTTGGATATATGGATGTGTGTTTGTGGAAAGAAGGTGAGCCTGGCTTGAGTCATCAAAGCAAGGATGCTAAGTGTTCTCTTTCTCATGTAGAAGCGCAGAATGACATGGTATAACAGCATAAGGAATCAGAAATGCCCATGATATTGATCGTTACAAAGTGTTGTGGTAATTACAGCCATGGCCTTACACCAGTGCAGCTGCTGGCAGGGCCCACAGCAAGAGAGGCAGTGTTGTGAATGTTTGATCTCGAGCATGTGCTTGATGCTGAACTGGTGCAGCAGAAAGGTTTGTGCTTCAGCTCTGTCCTTTCCAGAAGTGGGTGAATACAGCTGTCGAGGTAACACATTGGAAGCTGCTCGTGAAGTGTCTTAAGAAAGACTTGATAACTGGAAATTATTAGAACTGTATCTTTCTGCCTGGAAGCAAATACCACCTAAATTTAATAAACTGAGTGACACCCTTGAGTGAGTAGGCATTTCTTTAGGTTCCTGTCCTGCAGTTACAGCTATTTGCACCACATGCACACATTCATATAAATACAGACAAGTGCAGAAATGTAGGTTTTCTTCTTGGAGCAGTTGTTTGCACACCAGTTGCCTCCTTTGCCTCCTCTGTGTCTAATGATGATCTTAAATAATATCCACTTACAGCTGTGCGTGTATTAAAGTTGTCTGAAAACATTCCTGCAGTTTGTGATGCCACTGAACGCTGCGTTTGCAAATTCACTAAGAGCTTGTGGGAGATGTAGGGTGTGATGCCACCTCAGCTCCCACGTCCCTGCAGCCACACAGCCCTGCTTCCCTGGGAAGGGAAGGCTTCAGGGGCTCTAACAACAGCTTGGTACCTACAGGGAGCTCACCAGGACGGTGAGGGCAGGCACTTTACAGGTGCATGGAAAAGGATGAGACACAGCCAGTGTAACTGGGGCTGTTTGCACCGTACCCCAAATGGCAGTGGCACGAAGACCAGAAATCCCTCAGCAAAATCTAGACTGAGGCATCAGACCTTTCCTAGTCAGGGGATGAGGCTTTTACCCTGCAGCTTGACCATCATCTTGCAGAGCTGGCAACTGTCTTCACTGCCAGGAGGTGGCATTTGCATTTACCTTATGAATTGCTCTCCATGTAAGGGTAAGTGCCCTGTCTCTATTTCCTCCTCTGCCCAGAGACGTGATAGAGGGTGGGCTGAGGGAAAGGGACAACCTTTCTGGCATGAACGACCATTCTTAAGTCAACTGCAGGCAGGTAGCAAGTAAACATCTGAGTGAGGAAGCACAGGTGCAGCCACAGTGACATGGTGCTTATGTGACAGAAATGCTGCCCTGGGATGGGGGCACCCCGGGAAGATCTGCACACCAATGCAGGAACTCAAAAACCAGTAAGTCACCAGATTTGTCCTATTAGTCCGTGCTCTGCTGCTCTGACAGTGCAGGTTCATTTTTGTGCCAGCAACCAATATTGGTCTCATGCTCCTGTTTTGCCAGAAAGCAGAAGGGTGAAGCAGCTCAGCCACACGTTTAATCGTACAGAAAGTGGATGGTACCAGTGACCAGCCCTGTGGCACTGGCTGATGTGGCATTCACCTGGCCAGGCCCTCGTCCCCATCCCCACCCGTCCTGCACAGCTCTAACCCATGTCAGCACACTCCAGTGTAAGGTACTGCTGCTCAGGCACCACACCAATTCTACAGAAGTCCAGAGAAATTAGTGCTATGTTATCTAGGCAGTAAATCATTTTCTGGGCTATTGTTGTATGTGAGGGGCCTCAAGATGCTCTGGAGGAGTTCACATCGATATTGCATCAGTGCACCAACAGCACTGACTGGAGCAGCCTTCCCGTGCAGAACACAGTGCGTAAGCAGCTGCTGTAGGAGTAGGGACTGTAAAATCCAACTAGTGATTCACAAGTGAGCTGTGGGCTCTGAAAGCGCTTTAGCTTTGCAAACGCAGCTCTCGGGATGCAGCCGGCACTAGGACCTGCCTGGAGCCTCTACGCCCCAGCCTGTACAGAAGGGATAAATACAGCCCAGCCCGCCGGCTGCGGGCGGCACAGCCGCGCTGCCGCCGAGGAGCCCCCGCACCCCGACCCCCGGCGCGGAGGGGCCGGGGCCCCCTGGCTGCCGATGCTCCAGCTCTGCAAGGTCACGGCCTCCCTGTTCCTCGGCACGGCCAGGGCAGCCTGCGACGAGGAGCTGCTGTCGCGGGAGGGGGTGACCTTCTGCATCAATGTCACCAGGCAGCAGCCGTTCCCCGGCCTCCCGCGGGTGCGCGGCATTCGCGTGCCCGTGTTCGACGACCCGGCCGAGGACCTGTACCGGTACTTCGAGCCGTGCGGCGCCGCCATCGAGGAGGCCCTGCGGGGCGGGGGGAAGTGCCTGGTGTACTGCAAGAACGGCCGCAGCCGCTCGGCTGCCATTTGCACGGCTTATCTGATGAGGCACCGACAGCTCCCGCTCAAGGACGCGTTTGAGGTAACGTGCCTATGCCCAGATTTATATTTAGACTTCTTTTGGGGAGGAAATGCAAGGCTTGTTATGAGTAATGATGAGTTATTTTGGGCTCTCACCTGCCCATTACCAGGTATACAGATATTCAACATTTTAAATAAATGTCCCCTCTACAAGTTTTTTCATCCCCAGCTTGGACAAATGACCTTCCAGTGTGAGGTTTCTGGGACAAAATAATTACAAATGCAAATAGGCTTTGAGCACCAGTAGCAAACATGCAAAGCTGGTGGTTTAGTGAACATTTTTCTCTGTCAGTTGCACAGTCACAGTAAGTGACATTAAAGACAGAGACAAATGAGTGGGTGCAGGAATTGTTTTGCAGGATTTGCTCCTTCACCTGTGTGACAGCTCCACACAGCAGAGAGACATCCTGTTAGGCCTGCTGAATGGCCAGGGACGAGCTAATGAGCAGCAACATCTCAGCTTTCCTAGGAAGCCCATCCAATACAAACTACTTGGGCTCTGTGGGCTTTTAGTCTTCACCCATTTGGCAGGTGTATCACTGAAGTCTTTAGATAACTATTTTGCTCAATTTAGACTGTGTGCAGATAGTGACTAGTTTCACGCTATCTTAATGATGAGCAGTGTCACCACACTTTGTGAGAGACATTCACATTTCCAGCAAATTCAACAGCTCCTTCTCACTTCTTGCCCATGAATCCCTTCTGTAACAGGGACCACATGCCAGGTCATAGCAAGCATAGAGTGAGCTCAGCTCACCAAAATAGCTGCTCGTTATTCTGTGGTCAAATCAAAACCAAAGTGAATCTTCTCAAAGGTCTAAGGAAAAAAATCCATTTACAGGACACTCACAAATGCAGGACACTCACAAATGTAGGACACCTTGCTTCTACCGCTCTCTCCTGTTCCCTAGGCTGTGAAGACTGCCAGACCTGTAGCAGAACCCAACGCAGGATTTTGGTCTCAGCTGCAGAGATATGAAGAAGATTTGCAGAGACTGAATCAGCCAGGTCCACCGAGCAAAGGACTGAAAACTAGCGATGTGTGAAGATGCTTTAAACAGAGTGAAGTTTCTACAGATTTAAAAAAAAATTAAAAAAAAAAAAAAAAAAAAAAAAAAAAAAAAAAAAAAAAAAAAAAAAAAAAAAAAAAAAAAAAAAAAAAAAAAAAAAAAAAAAAAAAAAAAAAAAAAAAAAAAAAAAAAAAAAAAAAACCACAAAAAAAACCTTCCTAAATGACCTCTACATAAAATGCCTTACTGCCATAACTGAGTTGATGGTTCATTAAATTCATTCAGCTCATTTTTGTTGAAGGTCCATAGAAACAGCGTGGATAAGCAGCGAGAAACAACAGAAACAGAAAATGGTTGGAAGGACTGTAAACAAAGCAGAGGAAGGCATGGAATCTTCAGCACTTATTTCTCCCTGAACGACACGGAATACGAGTGAAGGAGTTACCACATAGCACTTTTACTCTCGTTTTTTAATGAAATTTCCCAGTGATGCCACTCGAAGACCTGATGCCAGACCAAGGAAGTTCTAAATTCCTGTCTCACCTACTGGATATTAATTCATAGTCAGTGTTCATGAGCTGACACAACTTTTGGTGGGAAACCAACACTGGCTGATGCTTAGTCCCTGCCATTTTCCTTACGTTCAACCAGACTGAAGCACCTTCCTAAAATTACCTAAAAATCCAGAGGACAGAATGTACAGATGATGGTAAGGAGTTCAGCTCCCAACATGTAAGTGCCTTTTCAGCTTTTGAAATTGTTCTCTAAAACACCAAAGGAATGATTTAAAAAACAACAGTTGATAGTGGAGGGAAGAAGATGACACTGACAATTTAGAAGTAATCCTCACTCTTCTTAGCTTTCCTTACTAAGTCTTACAAGATCTGCCAGTGCCCAGCACATGCCTTAATGTGCCTGTTTACAAGTCAGCTGTACCTGCATCCAAGCAACATGGCTAAATCATTTCTGCTAAGACTGCTTGCAGGTTGCTCTCTGAAATTATCTATTGGGACATCAAGAAAACTGCATGAAACTTCTAAATCAGACTACTATATGTTTAGAGTAAGACATTAGAACTAGAGAGAAACACCAAGCTATTTTGTCAAACTGGATGAATACATCTGTAATTTAAAAGGGACAAGTTATGAAACCCATGAACCTGCAGGGTGAAATTCCATTTCATGTTGCTTAAAGCTTAAATATAAAATAAAATTAGCTCATCACCATCTGTCTGAGTGCTCACACAAGGCAAACATATGCTCCCAGCAGTGAAGCAGTTTAAGGCAGAAATTCTAATGATGGAACAATGACAGAGAATAAAGCCTCTGGGGAACTACGTGAATTAGACAATTCAGATGCAGTAGAAGTTCCCAAAGTTAAAGATTGCTCAAAGTTAAAATAGGATTATTTTAAAAGCTGAAAACAGAGAAATAAAAATTAAAAATTCAGGCTATTGTTTTCTTAGTTACCGCAAGGCATTTTCACACCAGATGCTTTCTCCACTCCCAGCTGTGTTTGGTTCATTCCATATCATTTATCCTTGGTATCTGCATTACAACCATGAAATTTGTTGCACATCTGCAGATTTGAAGGTGAGTGGTTGCTAGAGAATTTATTGTAACTTTTATAAACCTTGACTATCATACATAATAACAATTGCAGTAATACATCAGATCCTTATTAATTGCCAGGATACCACTCATCAAAAAATCTGTTCCAGTCAATCCATGGAATAAAGTTTATTTCCTGTCAAAAGCTAAAGCTGCTAAACAAAAGTAGGAAGCTAAACATTAATGAAAACACAATACTTTTTTAACTGTGAGGCACATGAACTCGCAGTCAGACACAGCTATCAGTTCCACATGTTTGAGTCAGCTGAAATGGAAACCGTTGCTCTCAAGTGTCAGCACATACTGAGCTCTGGTTAAATTTTACCAGCCTTCTCAGCATGCAGAAAAGCTTCTTGCAGCAGGATTTCACATCACATCTTCTGTAAAAAGCTATTTACATCTGAAAACCATTCCTATTTACATTGGAAAGCATGCCTCCTCCTGTACTGCTCCGAATTAAGGGATAAGATGCAACTTGGAACCGGAACCCTGGAAGTCGTTCACTTCTTTATTTGAGTTCATAACCTGTTAACGTTACTGGTGATGCAACTTGTAAGTTTAGACATACTCCTTGTTGCTTATGATGGTCTCAGTGTTCCTGGAGTACATGTGTGGTTGAGGAGCTGCCCGGCCTGCTGAATATGTGTATTTGTCGGTTCTGTAACGCAAGGGAAAAAAAAGATACAAATAATAAGTATTAGACTCATGTTCACAGCTTAGATACTTAGGAAGTCATTTAGGTCTTTATCAAACCCACTGATAGCACACTCTTCACAAAGGTGTGTCTGTTGTTCTCATCAGTCTGGTAGCTAAGGGGAAAGACAAGGGCTCCCTGCCAGGCAGCACAGCCATTTCTCTCACATACCCAAAGCCACACTCTGGATTCCTAATTCACCTCTGCTCTTCCTCAAGGCATTTCAGTCAAGGCCTTAAAGCAGAACAGAACCTAGCCCTTCAACGTCCCTGTGCAAGCTCCAGGTTTTAATACAGGAATCAGGATGACGAGAAAGAAAAACAAGTATCTTCAGCCAATCCCTTCAGCTGTCATTTGTCACGTTGAACTTCTAATTCATACGATGGTTTTACCTGATTTTCAGGACATTTCAGGACATTCGGTACTTTGTATTAAAATACGGTGAGCAAGATCTAAAGTCCAATGTGGCTGATGAAATATTACCATAAAACTGGAATGGTTTCAGATTAGGCAACGGAGTATCAGAGGAACTCTCACTATGTGTTTTGACATAATCTTCCTAAGATTATATGCATCAGCAGTGAACACACTTCCTCCTTCCACATAATCAACCTCTCAAGCTTAGCCAGCACAACCTCCAAGTCATTTGAGTTCTTCTGGGTACACATGAACCTCGGCTATTTCTGCCAGAAGTCTCAACATATTGAGGCCAGAAGTCTCAGCTTTTCTGATTTGATGTGCAGCAAGACATTTCCATAAAGAACAAGAAAAAAAAATCATGTTTCTAATGATGTGCTTCGGGAAGGAAATGCCATTACACTTTCTGCAAATTAAATGGTGTTTGAATATTTTAATCACAGTGGGTATTGTTGAGAAGCTGGATTATAATACACTATATTCTTTGAAATACTTTTGCCAATGGACAGTTCACTCTTTCACTGCACATTTTCACCACATAGAAACAGAAGCAGTATACCCAGAATCACCAAACACAAGTTACAGGGACCACTGATGGTGAATTATCAATAAGTACACTGTACAAGTGTTTGGTGTAGCATCCCCTGCCATCACATGTGACAGCCCATAGTACTTTAGAAGGCTACATATTTATACCAGAGGGTGAGAGAGGGAGAAAAGTGCACAGATAGAAAGGGGTATGTAATTGACAGCTACTGTTTTGACTGACAAACCCAAGATTACCTGTAATTCTGTTTTTCCTTCCCTTTGCACGAGCAGGTCAGTAAGATCCCACCAAGAATATAAAGAAGAGAACCAGTCCAGCCTAAGTACAGAGCTTCTCCTAGTTCATACCTGAAACATGAAAGATTTCATGGAAACAGTTTATAACAGGATCACAAAGACATTATTTTAGACTGAGCCAAAAGGTTCACAAATCACGCAAACAATCAAATTCTAGGCGGCATACAAATCAGCCAACTGAAAGGTATGTCAGCAGATAACAGAGAACAGATCTGGCTTTGTGTCTGCTCAGTAAAACTCTTACTTGTATATTTAAGTGGTCTGCTAAACTAGTGATGGTACAGAAAGTGCTAAGCAACGTTAAAATAACCAGCAAAAAGAATTGTGTCTATTTAACAAATTGCTGATAATAAATAATAATAACATACCTTCTGTGCCATCCACAACACATCAGTTTTCTATGGGCATGATGCTAGGTGACCTACAAGTAGCTGTTTGCATAGGGCTAGTTTTCAAACTTAGGTATCCTAAAGAATATTCAGCACCCTCTGTGGTTGTATGGCTGAAATCCATGTATGAGTGTCCCAGGGTGAAAGAGAATAGTTCCCCATGTTACTGTGCAAAACTCTATCTTTCAGGAAATCCCCCAGTCCAGTCCAAGAAATTATTTGATAATGAATTTGTCACAAAGGCTAGATACAATTGAGTCTGACAAAGTCTGGCAGGAGTTTCACAAAAAGATGAAAACAAGTTTTGTATTTGAAGACTTCATGCACAATACACCTGTACCTCTGTAGTCTGAGGTACCTGATATGAGGGCAAAATAAGTGTTATGAGTTGTGTTGGAAGTACACTGGAACCAGAGATTTGTGTTTTCTTTCCACTTGCAAACACAAAATCATCATTTAAAAGTATTGAAGCTTCTGACTCCAGAATTCATTGCTAACAGGAGGGTTTCAGAGGTTCCCATGTTCCCTGCTTTTTGTGCTCTCATCACACGTTGGAGCCGAAAGGTCTCCACTAGTTTAGGTGCTTTCCAAACACAGTCATTATCTCAAAAAAACAGCATTGCAAGCTGCTGAAGGAATACTAAGGAACAGTCAAGGAGAGCTGCCCAGTGTCTGAAATCATCTCTGCTCACCAGTCACCTACAGACAGGAATGCTGTAGATGCCATCCCCAAGGAAAGTAGATAGGAGGGATGTGCAGGAGAAGTTAGGTTGCCTTCACAGCTCTTTGAGAAACTCCTCTAAGAATTAGCAGAGGTTAACTTCACTAATTTGCTGAAGTCAGAAAAAAGAGTTGCAATCTGAAAAACCAGATTTGCCAGTCTCTTAAGAGTGAAGATCAATAGTGGCCTGCAGTTGAATTTAACTGTGTCTCAGAGTCCATGTCCGGCTTTACCAATGACCAAAGTTAATTCACCAAGAACTGCTCAGAGAATCAATAGCTCAAACATGACGTTTGGATATTAAAAAAAGAGATTTCTTCAGCTACTGAATGCAAACAACCTGGTAACTGATTAACAGCCATTGATGTTGAAGGCCCAAAGCTATAGCAGATAAC